GCAACCAAGTTCATAACTCTCTCTCTCTCTCTCTCTCTCTCTCTCTCTCTCTCTCTCTCTCTCTCTCTCTCTCTCTCTCTCTCTCTCTCTCTCTCTCTCGCGCACACACACACACACACACACACACACACACACACACACACACACAGAGGATGAACAGAATTGAATGGATCTGCCGACAGAACGTGGAAATATACACTGCCAAGTGTGAGTGTGTGTGTGTGTGTGTGAGAGAGAGAGAGAGAGGGGGAGCAGGATAGAGGGGTGGGATAGGGGGAGTGGCACATGGGGAGAGAGAGAGAGAGAGAGAGAGAGAGAGAGAGAGAGAGAGAGAGAGAGAGGAGGAGGAGCTGGAGATGGGGAACCTCACAGACGGGCCTGGGTATTGCGCAAAGTTGCCCACCCGGTATGGAGGGCAAACCGGGTAAAACAGGGTGCAGGCCCAGGCCCCAACGATGCGGTCCAGATTGCAAATTTGCACATGGGCCTGACAGGGGCGAAACGCAAAGAATTAGGCCCAAAAGGGCATTCTGCTCTACCCAGATCTTTTAGGGGCATTCTGGCATATATCTCAACTTATAGGGGTATTTCGCAAATTATCCCTTAAAAAAAAAAAAAAAAAAAAAAAAAAACAGACAGGGCTGTGATGAACTAATGCTTGCATACATTTTGGGGGCTTTCCTTTGTGCAGGTTCAGTGCGATCCAACTTCATGCTCTCCCCCTTTGACATGTGACCGTGAGTCTGGCATATGTGTACCGCCTTCGTCTTCCACTCCAGTTATCCCTCAAATCAGCCCTCCCCCACCGCCCCAAGCATCACCTCCTCCTCCTCGATTGTCGCCCCCTCCTCCTCGATTGTCGCCCCCTCCTCCCCAATTATCGCCCCCTCCCTCCCCACCTCCAAGATCCCTATCGTCTCCGCCACCAAAATCACCCCCTCCTTCTCCCCCTCCATCTCCTCCTCCATCTCCCCCTCCATCTCCCCCTCCATCTCCACCACCTCCCAAACCATCACCCCCTCCCCCTGCTCCTCCGACACCAGAACCACCTTCTGCACCCTTGCCACCTGAACTGCCCTTGAAATCTCCCCCTCCACCTTCACCACCGCCTCCGGCACCCTTTCCGCCAACTTCTCCCCCTCCACCTCCACCACAAGCACCAGCAATTCTCCAAGTTCCACCTCCTCCAGGTCCCCCTCCCCCACGAGTTTCTCCTCCTACAGCAAGTCCGCCGCTGTCTCCGAAGGCCCCCAGTGTGCCTCCACGAGCGCCATCTCGGCCAGGGGCGCCAGTTCGCCAAGGTAAATTGCCACAAATTGACAAACAAAAAGCCAAAACCATCACCAGATGCAGTTTGCCAAGATCCATATTTCATCCAATGCCGTACATGAAAGTTTTATCTTCTGAGACTTCTTCAGGGGCAAAAGTTGTTTAAAAAAAAAAAAAAAAAAAAAAAAAAAAGGCAAAAGGATATTTTTACTTCATCCTGAGAGGGCCAGGGATCAAGCATGCCATTGAGCAAATTTGTAGTCAATCAGTGACAGTGGGTTCTGTGGACCAGAGCACAGAGGCCTACACGGGGGTGTGTTGGAGTGGGGGGGAAGAGGGGGGTGGGAACGAGGGATGTCCTATGTGGATCAGAAGTGTCTTTGCACCTTACGGTGCAGCTCCCTCGATTGCCAAGTCTTTGTCAAAATGTAGCACTACTTCAGAATCTGAGAAACCAGGCAAATAGCCCCCACAGGGCCCACAAACTGAGTCTTTGCTAATGTGGAATCTATGGCTGTTGTAAGCTGTAACTGTGTGGCTAGAATTATTATAGAATCTGTGTGATGAGGAAAGTGGCTCCCAGATGCTGAATCTTCGGTAAAATAAGGTCGAGCTTAGCATCCAGTTAGTACTACACTACTATAGAAGATGAGACTCTGCACATCAATCGCTACAATCGCTACAATCGCTACATATATAAAGTTCTTATTATGCATGAGTGGGTGCCAACTCTGCATCTATGCCATCTGTTGGTTTGGCATGCGACAAACTCGATGCAATGCTTGTGGTTTCCCAGACCGGTCAATGAGCAATCGCGGCCATAGGTGTTGCGGTACCGGGCAGTTCGCAGTGTGTGTTGATCAGGTGAAAGGCCCATAACCATGCAGGCAGGACCACTCGTCTGGCTACACATCAGGGTTGCATCAATCATTCACATCTCCTTCACGATGCATGCACGTGCCACATGGCTACCGGCTTCACCTGAATAGAATGCCCGGTCATTAAAGCTGCATTTGGCCCAACTTGCAGTCCAGATGCAGCGATAATGACCGGGCATTCTATTCGGGTGAAGACGGTAGGTTTTCCTTCAGAGGGCCGCGCTTGCACTCGTCACAACGTGCACTGGGGCTTGCATGACACTCGCTGAACTCTGGCACTGACTGGCCAAATGAGAGACATCTTTCTTTCCTCTCTTCTTTTTATTTTTTTTGCCTTTTTATATTATTTAATATTTATTAAATTTTATTTATATTATTTCAATTTATTTGTAATAATAATTTTGCATTATTTTTGTTTTATAGTTTATTGTTTTTTATTATTATTTTCTGTTTTTTTTTTTCTGTTTTTTTAACTTTTTTAACTTTTTTTTTTTTTTTTTAACCTCAAATGTTAGGTTCCTCCCTCCCCCCCTCCCCCCAAATCCTTTTAATAATAAGCAAAAAAAAAGAAGGGTCCAGCATCCCTTACATCAGAAACACCCATAATGTTCTCTTCGTTATGGTCAAGGGATCCTGAGACAGCAGCATTGATTGCTTCCTTCCATGGGAAGGATGTACTATTGCTCCACCCCTGCTTTCTCAAACTTTCGAAAACCAGAACTTCGGGATTGAGCAGAATCCTTTAAACTGCTGGTACGTTTCCCAGTCACTTTTCCAAGACGCGGCCGTTCACTCGCCACGTTCTTTTTCGGGGGTCAGGCTACCCGGGCAAAATGCCTGGCGGCACCAGCGAAAAGAAGGCTCCCGCCGCTTTGTTTTCATTAGCGCGCAAGGCGTTTCTGGGCTCGGTAAGGGAGGGTTCAAAAGTACTGGTGGTTTGACGACAGTGCTACCTCTAGTCCCGGAACCGAGAAAGTAGTAATGCTGAGACCTCTCAATCGGCTTCTCTGTACTAACGAAAAATAACAGTAGTAGTAATCCGGATGTATCGGCCCACTCTGTGCTCCTCCCTCTGTTATGATTGAGGGGCCCTGAGGTGGTGGAGTAGAATGGCTGCATGTGAACCCACTCCAGTGCCACATCAGATCCTGAGCCTTCACTCGAAGTCGTCTTCTTGAGAAACACTCCCTCGTTATCCTCTACCTCTCCCTGATGATTCCCCTTCCTTTCTCAAAACCAAGATCAAGTTCAACAACATATGAGGCTCACTGCCAGATTACCATTCTCAATTATTTGAGAGAGGGCTATGTACTAGGACATTACCACAGCCCGGCGCGTGCCTCACAAGGTTATTCTAGGAATTCTTTCAGAAGAAATTGCTTGTAGAAAATTTATGACCTTACTCTGAAAATCCCTAAGTGTTGGATATGCTCTTACGTTCTTGCGATCGCCTCTATTATGTCACATTACGTTACATCAATTGGACAAATACAGGTTTTACTCTACAGAGCCTGAAGGAACAAATCCCTTGGATCCGGGAGTGGATGTGACCGAAAATGTACGCTATGGACTTGACTCCTTACTAGGCCTTTGGATTCACAGTTACAAAAAACCCGAAAGGGTTTTTACCAGGATCTTGGAGGTTTTCTGTCTCAGCTGGCTCCAACCTTGATTGTGTTCAACTTGCCTCCACCCGTGAAGTTACAGTCTTTGTTACTGCCCGGGCTGTCTGGTCATTGACCACCATGTAGGGTCCCATTTTTTCCTTTGCAGCCTATTGTCTAGCCCTGTTGCCACCTTCCCATCCCATAACCATTCTTTAACAGGCAGTCCTGGCAGTGGGTAATGTCGTCTTCTATGTTTATGTGCGCACATTTTGCACAGGGGTGAACTGTTAGGGTCTGATCTTTTCCGTCCTTCATGGAGCCATTGGTTAACTGGTAGTGCCGCTTATGCTATCATCCATTCCAGGCTGCATACTAGGCTCATCTTGGGTCAACTGTAGTATTTCGGACCTTCGATAGTGTTACGGACTCAGCCAGGGCTCGATCCCTGGTCCGCGGGGTACCACCCGCCAGGCTGCTGTTCTTTTTTTTTTTGGAGTTTCTGATCTCCGGTTCCTGACTGTTGACGCCCCCTGCAGTTGGCGCCCTTTCTCAAATCCCGCCTCTGCTACTTTCGGATTTCGTACTTGGCGCCATCCGGCATTCTGGTGCCCAGGCTCGATTTTCAGTTCAGCCCCGAGGCAAATTGCACTTTTGCCCTCGGACTCAACTCGAGTCCGGTACTTAAGACCGGACTCAAGCTGAGTTCGGGGACTCAGTTTTCGGCCTCAGTGCTTGTGCTTCAGTGGGACTTGCTGCGACATTGTGTACGGAACCAAGATTGCGACTTTGCGACTTTGCCACTTTGTGTCTGCGTCCGTCGAGTCGTGTCGAGTCCGTGTCGAGTTGAGTGAGTGTGGGTGTGTGCTCTCACTCCCTCCCTCTCTCTTCCCCGACCTTGCTGCTCTACCTCCGCCCCGTCACACTGGTATCGGAGCGGCTTCGGCCCTCCCTCCCGCCCTGATTCATCGTCGTCGCCGTCGACACCGTCACCGTCATTGCCATGTCATCGACATCATCGCCATCGCCATCGTCTCCAGCGCCGCCACGACATAGCCATCGCCGCTGACATTACCGCCACGACAGAACTACGTACCTGCCGTCGTGGCCGCCTCGTCGTCATAGTCATCGTCGCCACGTCAGCAGCCGCCTCATCGTTGTCGCTGCCGCCCATGTTTTGAGAATAGTGACCCAATAAGGTCTAGAACTAGGTCCGGTTCTATCGGTCGGAGGGGCTAATGGCTGCCTTCCTAGTCCTTTTGGGGTGTTTTTATTAGGGATTCCCTTGCCGCGATCCAGAAAGTTCCGTCCATGTTTGTCGGTGTTTTAACCGGAGTTAGTTAACAGGAACTGTCAAGTGCCATCCATGTCCAGGGAATGGAGGTGCAGTGTAAGATTTCGACTATCCATTTCCTTTGTAAAGCATAGGCTACTTGTTTGGGGTCTAGTAAACCCAAACCTCCCTCCTTCCAGTCTTGTGATATAATGTCAAGCCACCTTATGGATACAAGAGTCTTTGGAGGGATCAACGGTCCAAATGAAGCATCGTACTTTCTTATTGAGCTTTTTGAGGGCTACATCTGGTGGAGACCAAATCAAGGTCATGTAGGATAGGGTAGATAGGACTGAAGTCTGGATTATGGCCACCCGTCCTTGGAGGGATATGATGGCATTCTTACCATCGTGGCTAGCCTCACCGGCGCTTCCATGTCGGTACCATGCCCAAGCTCCCGAGTATGTGGAGGTTTTTCATACGAGCTGGATATGTTCAAGGGGTTCCCTAAGGGCATTGTTCGCGATCGTGACACCCGTTTCATTTCCGAATTCTAGATATCATCATTGAAGCGCACGGGGGCTTCCCTCAAGCCAAATTCAGCTTGCCATTCCCAAATTGAGACAAACGGAGAGAGCACATCAGAGGGTGCAAGTTATGCTACGTACACTCATTCGCCTGGTACAACACATTTGTTCATCTGACCATCGACATCTCCCCTTTTGAGCTTGAGCATGGTGAGCCGGCTGGTTTCCCCGTGGATACACTTATTCCACAAATGGGTGTCTGAAGCCCCTGACGCCTTGATTTGCAGGATAGGAGCTCATCTTCATAGCCCACAAAAATATGCAGAGAGCACAGTAGTGCATGCAACAGCAGGCCAACAAGCATTGCCTACCAGCCAATCTCCTGCCACCTTTCCCTCTCTGCATTCCAACTCTCTCTCTCTCTCTCTCTCTCTCTCTCTCTCTCTCTCTCTCTCTCTCTCTCTCTCTCTCTCTCTCT